ACGCCTCCGCCTCCATCGGCCGGACCCACCTCTTCTGCACCACCGGCGGAGCAGAGTTTCTGGGCCACGTTGTAGAGTCCCCCGGGACGGAGCTAGGTTTCTCCGGCGGTGGCGCTTTGTCTCTCGGGGTGGTTAACGCAAACGCTGGTCCATACAGTGGTAGTAACGATGAGGGAAACATCACCGTTAAGAGGGTTTCCGTGAACGCTAACGCTGTAGCGGCGGAGGAGACGCCGGAATCCTCGAAGAAGATCGCTGATACGTTTGGGCAACGGACTTCGATCTACCGAGGAGTCACTCGGTAAGTGAAATGTGTAATCAAAACATGAAAAATGCGATGATGGGTGTGATTGGGAACATTCAAAGTTTTGATTTTTATTTGAAAGTATCGTTTTTTCTCTCTTGGTGCAGACACAGATGGACGGGGAGATACGAAGCGCATCTATGGGATAACAGCTGCAGGAGGGAGGGTCAGGCCAGGAAAGGTCGTCAAGGTGATTCACATTTCTTTTTCCAAGTAATTTACAATCTTATGAGAAAACCATTACAAAAGGTTGGAACCATATTTATGCTTAGAATTTAGAATTATGCACTAAGAAGACGTAAGGGTCCATTCGAATCTTAGCTATCCATGGTCTTGGGAATCTAACTCATCAACAATTGTCACGTGATTTTTTTTTTATTTTCTGGATACTTAGAATATTTGGAATAAGATTCAGACTAATTTTAAGGACGAATGTTATTTGGAATATACACCCTTTTTTCAAATTTGTTTTACCGACTTGTCTCGGATAAACCAAAGCTTTTTATATGGAATATACTCGAATTTGAAAGGTTTTAACTTTTATGATTTGAAAACACAAGAATGAAGGATAACAAAGGGAATGGAAGATTCTAAAACTTTAAGAAAAAGCTATTTTCTTTTGGTGATCTGTCTTATCCTTTCTGATGATTGATGGACTCTTTGAAGAAATGGCGTATGTCGAGGAGGACCCAATTTTTGAAATTTATATATAAAAAAAAGACTTAACAATGCTTTCACTTTCAGTCAGGAGGAAAAGATCGTTGTACGAAATATAATATATATATATATATATTTTATATTACGGTTGATTTTCCATGTTTTCATGCGAAGGTGATGCCGCCATTTTGTTCCT